ATTTTCTTTGTGTCAAACTATCTCCTATTGATATGTAGGTCAATAATCCTCCTTTGCAACCACCAGAAAACTATTGTTGTACACATTGCATAGATTTATGACTTTGTAACCATGAGTAAGACACATCGAGGAACTATCAACAACATTGTGGAGTTGGTAAAGTATTATTTTGAACGTACTACTAAATTTGTCGTTAATACTCTTAATTATTTTTTGTTAGGATCCAAAGAGATTTCATTGTTGTGTACATGAATATGTGTCACACGACGAATGATAGAACCATACTTACGAGCAGGCGGTTTTGGTCATTTACTCAACACAGTCTCATACTCTGTTGATTATAAATTTATACTCGCTTTAGTAGAAAGATGGAGACTCAGACCCGAGACACACGCATTTCACCTTCCGTTCGGTGAATGTACCGTCACACTAGAGAATGTGTACATATTGTTGGATCTACCTATCGAAGGTATAAATATTAATGGGAGAGTTAACCAAGATAACGCAATATACGAAAAACTTTTTGGTGTCCTTGTAACGCCCCGACTTATTTTAATTATTTTTCGTAATTTAAATTATGCATTGTTCTGATTTTGTTGTGTTATTGGTGTGGTGAGCTTCCCTTGGTGTGGGGCAGTGACCTTAAGAATAGAAATTAAAGTGTTGGGTGTGTGTGAGTATTTGTGCAAAGATGGGCGGTGTGGAGAGTAAAACTAATTAACTTATATTAATTATTATTTATTTAATTAAATAATATTAGAAAATATTATTTAGAATAAATATATATTATTATGGTTATTATTGTTATTATTTAGTTAGTGGGATTAATAGTAATAATAATAATATAATAAAATAAGAAGTAAGGGAATTAGAGAACGGGAGAAGTTGTCAGAACGTGAAAGTTTAGGAAAAAGTGTAAGAAGAATAGTTAGGGCAAAGAGGAAGAGAAAATCACCATTTTTGTGAAGTTTTTGCAAGAACTTTAAGGTAAGGGTGGAGTTCTAATTATCTAAGGGATAACATGATGATGGTGGGTAGATTATGTATATGGGTGGTTTATGCTTTTTATCTCTCTATGCTATGAATACTGTTGCAATTGTATGTTGTTGGATTGAATCTTTGAATTCTGAATTATGAATAGTACCATGATGTTGTAATCGATGTTGTGATCGATGAATTATTGTGTTGTTGCTGTTGGAATTGTGGAATTGTTGGAATTGTGTGATGTAGATGTTGTCTTTTTGTTTGTGGTTACAAGTTAGAGTCAAAACTAAGTTATGAGTAACTTTTGTGAAAAAAATTGAAGTTGTGAAGTTTTTGAAAACTGAGTTTTGGATCAAGTTATGTGTTTTTCGAGTAGTAAGAACAATGAGATTTTGGGATGAAAAGAAAAGTGATTTTCGTTTGAAAAAGCAGCAGAAAAGTGCTTCTGTTGCAGGTGTAATCAGTTACCTAGATTGTGGTAACCTGTTACATTGTGTTAAAAATGTGTTTTTGAGCAAAACAGTGAGGGTGTAACTAGTTAATTGTATTATCGTAATCGATTACATTGAGAGACAGAGGCGAGGTATATCTAGGTACAAGGGCTGTAACCGGTTACCTCATTTGGAGTAACTGGTTACATTGGAAACATTTTTGAATTTTTTTTAAAAATTCGTAACTTTAATTTCGGGTGTCTGATTCGAGTGCCGTTCGAAGCGTTGGGAAGCTAACACGAAAAAATGTATTCTAAAAATGGTTTATGTACTAGAAAATTAATAATTATTGCTTGTTGGTGTGAAATGCATTGAAATGTTTATGTTGGGTGTCACATAATCGTAATTGCATTTGTTGTTGCTTGCCATGTTGTGTGTTGATGTTGCTAGACTGTTATATCATGTTGTGTGTGGTCAGAATTGGCGGAGTACACTGACTATGGAGGTGTTGGTTGTTGTACTTGTTGTTGTTGTTGTTGCATGTATAATATGTTGCATGCATTCATGATGTTGAGTTGTGAGATAAGTTGTGTGCTCGGTGAGGTGTGAACGTCTTATCCTAATTCTAGTTGTTGAATCGTGTTGTTGTTGAGGTGATTGTATACCCGGCAGATAGGGTTGGCAATGAACTGAACGACCTCGAAAATAGTTTGGAATTCGATTCGATAATTAAATCGTTGAACTAGTTTCATGAACCAAATGAGTTGAGTATGAGCGAAACATTAAGTTCGTTAACTAAATGAGCTGAACTTGAATTATACATAGTTCGACTCGTTAGGTTCATGAGTCAACTCGATTAAATATGAGAAGAATTATATTGTCTTTAAGATTAGGTTTAAATATTTACTCCAAATCTTAGACAAATTTAATCTTCAATTTAGTAGTTTTTGAATTAGACTCTCAAATGTGTCTCTTGAAAGTTGTGTAAATTTTGAATTAGTAGATTTCGAAGATAAAGTTAAATTTCAATATGATAACTTTTATTTTGTTTTAATATTTTATTTAAAAAAAATATATTTATTTAAAATGTCAAATATACTAAAAAATATATATATATTTAAAAAATAGTTTTTAAGTCCGTGAATCATGTGAGCTGAATCTAATGAGATGAACCTAACGAGTTGAACTGAACTGTTCGTGAACTTATAACAAGTCGAGTTTGAGCTTAAAAAAAGTTCGTGTCGAATTCGAACTCGAACCAATTCTTAACGAGTCGAGCCGAGCTGAGGTGAGTTCGACTCGACTCGACTCATTTCCAGCCCTACCAGCAGGGTGTGATTGATCGTGGAGGTCGTGTGCTCGATGAATGTGAGCAATGTAATGGAAATTCCGACGAGAATTGTGATTCTGAAATAGGAATCAGGTTTTGAAGTATACTATGATACTATTTAACAATTTTTTATTTCTTGAAACTACGGTAATACAGTAAATATTATGTATTTGTCTTTGTTAAGAAACATAAATAAAATGGGAACATATAGTTAGAGTTTTGCTGTTTTTTCCCATCTATATAGTTATTTGTGTAAAAACGCACAAATGATACTTATTCGTTTTATGACAACTAAACAACTCATTAGAACCTAAATTTAATTTTAATATTACAAACTTACAAATCTTCTAATCATGTTTTTTTCCTATACAGTTTATCTGGAGGCCGTATTTAGGTCTCAACCATGAGGTTAATCCTGAGGATGTTGCAGTTTGTATTGCAAAAACAACCATTATCAGGTTCACTACTATGAAATGGAATGAACTTGTTAACAAGTGGTAGATGGTTTATGAGCATGATTTAAGCATAAATCGTGGGATATTGACCATTTAGCCCTTTCAAGAATCGTATAACATAATCACTTTCTCTATATGTTTTGATGGTTGAAATCAATTGACACTGGCATGTAAGATTACATGTGAAACTTGGAATATGGCGAAAAATGTCAAACTCTAGCCAGGGTTTCTTGAGAATTGTAAAATACAGGGTAACATTTTGATATCCTTATTTTTTAGCATAAATTTCTTCTTGAAGTTCTTCTCATATTTCTTTGATAATATCCATCCAAATAAAACTTTTAGAGATTTCAACCTCAATAGAATTTGTGATCCACACAATTACCATGTTGTTACAACGATCACAAGTGTCAGATTTAGGGTCTGAGGACTTAGGGCGAGTTAAAATTTTACAATTAACCTTAATTTTTTTGATCTAAGAGTGAGTTTAATCGAACGAGAACAAGAACAAAAATTTGTGTTGTTGGATAGAGAAATGATGACTAACTTTGAACTATCACCCCGAGTGCTTGTAGAAATGGTCAAACATATCCAATTGATAGTTTCAATTAGGACTAAAAAAAATTGGTCAATAATATTTCTGGGTGGACTAGTGGAATAAGATGAAGTTGTGTGTTAGTTGGAGCGAAAAATTTGTAAGAGACAATGTTTTAGTATTGTTATTAATGGAAAAAAATAGGACTAAAACTTTTAAAAAGGCAAAGTATAAAATTATTAATCCTAACTTATTAAACAAACTAATAAAAAATAAATGACACTGTAACACCATTTTTTATATAAGATTTTTCACTTTTAAAAAAAAATTGATAGTGAGTATTATTATTAATAAATGATTATTTATGTAATAATTTTGTGTACGATTATTTTTGTATTTAGGTGTATACAAACTTTTTAACATAAACACGTGGTAATTTGTAGAGTGTTGGATGAATCTGATATGATATCTGAAACAATGCCATGGGTTTGTGTATTCTCCCTGGACTTTGCATTGCTCTCATCTTCTCCAAGCTCATCTTCTCGAAGCCAATTATTTGAATCATATAATTAACCAATCTGAAACCATTCCAAAATAGTATGAAAATCGTTATGGCCAATAATCACAGTCTCGATTTTTATTTGGAATGGGAACTCTGCAGCAGTGACCGCGGCCGGTGACACAGCGGCAACATCACGGCGGTGAGAACCACCACCACCTTCTCTGTCCACGTCATCATCTCGAAATTCTTTCAGAGGTATTATTCCGCGTTTCCAGGTTTGTTTTTGTAGAAAGATTGAATTTCAAAGATGATTGTTGTTTATAGTAACATTTGTTTTGTTGTTTTCCTAAATCCGAAAATGCGACATCTATGGACGCAACAACACATTTCTTTGTATTCTACTTAATCACAACATGTCAATGTATGCATTTGAGTTTCATACTTAAAATTAGCAAATATCAATGTGAACGCGTTTCGTTTCTTTGTATGAGGAATGAGCCTGCTCCAACAACTCCATAACTATTATAAGCAACCTTAAATGATTCTCTTGCCATTACTAACACTAGATATCATAATCCATTAATTTTGTTTCTATTCTAGTAAATGTATATCATGTCAATCTCAATTATTAATCTCCAATACTACAAATTAACTTTCGTTGCAATTGTAAACACCACACTTTGTACAAACGTTAATCATCAACATTTCACATTAAACTTTCCTGCTCTCTGCATTATCTTCTTGCTTCTGTTTCCTCGTAATCATGTTCATCGAACTCCATACGTTTCTTGTCTTTTTGTATTCCTTCTATACTGTCGGTGCGCTCAACTCGGACGGTATGGCACTCTTGTCATTCATGTCGCACTGGACGTCGGTTCCTGCTCGCATCAACTCCTCCTGGACTCCATCGCATTTGACACCATGTTCATGGATTGGTGTCCAATGCAACTCCTACCACCGTGCCATCTCTCTCAACCTATCCCATTATCATATTTATGGTCAACTAGGACCCGAACTGGCCAATTGCACAGAACTCGCCCACATAGACCTTGGTCATAACAGCTTTAATGGCCAAATACCCTACTCTTTCACCAACCTCTACAACCTAAAATATCTATGCCTTTCTTCGAATCTTCTCACAGGTCCATTTCCTCATTTCTTGTCTCAAATCCCTCACCTCCACCTTCTTGATCTCTCTTACAACCAACTTAATGGTTCCATCCCAGCTAGTATTGCCAACATGACTCAACTTCGCAACTTGTATCTCCAAAACAACCATTTCTCTGCTGCAATTCCATCGTCCGTTGGGAACTGCACTCAATTACAAGACTTGTTTTTGAATCATAATCAGTTGCAGGGTGTCATTCCTCACACGATAAATCATCTCAAGCATCTTCTACATTTTAGAGTTGCCTCCAATAACCTAACAGGTATTATTCCATTGGGTTCTTCCTCTTGTCCAAATTTACTGACTTTGGATCTCTCACTCAATTCTTTCCATGAAGGCATTCCCTCCGGAATTGGGAATTGTACTGCTTTAATACAATTTGTTGCTATTAGTTCTAACTTGGTCGGAACTATTCCATTCTCCATGGGTCTGCTCACTAAGCTTTCCCTTCTACAGCTTTCAAACAACCATTTGTCCGGAAAAATACCTCCCGAATTAGGTAACTGTAAGTCTTTGAATGTGCTGCATTTGAATTCCAATCAACTTGATGGAAACATTCCAAATGAATTGGGAAAACTGAGTCAGCTGCAGGACCTTGAACTGTTTTCCAATCAATTGAGTGGTGAAATTCCACTTGACATATGGAAAATTCAATGTCTTGAGCATCTACTTTTGTATAATAACAGCCTTTCTGGGGAACTTCCTGTGGAGATGACAGAGCTCAAGAACCTCAAAAACATCTCACTGTTTGACAACATGTTTTCTGGAGTCATACCTCAAAGTTTGGGAATTAACAGCAGTTTGGTACAGTTGGACTTCATAAACAATAGCTTCACAGGCAACCTCCCACCCAATCTTTGTTTTGGCAAAAAGTTAAAGCTTCTGAATATGGGCATCAATCAACTTCAAGGCAGAATACCTCCTGATGTTGGAAGGTGCACAGCTCTAAAAAGGGTCATTCTTAAAGAAAACAGTTTTATCGGGCCTCTTCCTGAGTTTGAAAGAAATACCAATCTGTTATACATGGATATCAGCAGCAACAAAATCAACGGATCAATTCCATCAAGCTTGGGAAACCACACAAATCTTACAGTTTTAATTATGTCCTGGAACAAATTTAGTGGTTATATACCACCAGAGTTAGGAAACATTGTGAATCTCCAGATGCTGAATCTTAGTCACAATAACTTAGAAGGTCCTTTGCCATTTCAGCTGGCAAACTGTACCAAAATGCACAAGTTTGATCTGGGATTTAATTTCCTGAATGGATCATTACCATCAAGTTTGCAGAGGTGGACAAAGCTAAACACACTTTTTTTGAGTGAGAATCGTTTCAGTGGCGGCATTCCAGCTTTCTTGTCGGCATTTAAAGAACTTTATGAACTGCAGCTTGGCGGCAATATGTTTGGAGGGAGAATTCCTGGATCAGTCAGGGCATTACAGAATTTGAGGTATGGGTTGAATCTAAGTTCCAATGGACTGATAGGAGACATACCTGTGGAAATTGGAAACCTGAAAGCTCTGCAAATGCTGGATCTATCTCAGAACAATTTGACAGGAAGCATAGAAGTTCTTGATGAACTCCCTTCATTATTCGAAATCAATATTTCGAACAATTATTTTTGGGGTCCCATACCGAAGACGCTAATGAAGCGGCTTAATTATCACTGGTCGTCATTTTTGGGGAATCCTGGCCTATGTATCAGTTGCTCACCATCCAGTGGCTTGGTTTGCAATGGAACCAGCTATGTAAAACCATGTGACAATAACAAAACTACGGGCCTCAGTAAAATTGCAGTTGTGATGATAGCTCTCGGATCCTCAATATTTGTTGTTTTGCTGTTGATGGGATTAGTTTATATCTTTGCTTATGGCAAAATATCTAAGCAGCAAGTCCATATCACTGATAATGAAAATGGAGGTCCTTCGTCCCTTCTTAACCAAATCATGGAGGCTACATCGGACCTCAGTGATCGGTATGTTATTGGCAGAGGAGCCCATGGAGTTGTCTATAAAGCCCTTGTAAGTCAAGACAGAGCTTATGCTGTAAAGAAGCTAGCATTTGCTGCCAGCAATGGTAATAAGTTGAGCATGATCAGAGAAATTCAAACCCTTGGACATGTTAGGCATCGAAATCTTGTTAAATTGGAAAACTTTTGGTTTAGACAAGATTATGGTCTAATTCTGTATAGCTACATGTCAAACGGAAGCCTTTATGATGTATTGCATGAAAAGAAACCAGCACCGTCTCTAGAGTGGAATGTCCGGTATAAGATAGCTATTGGAATTGCTCATGGGCTGGCTTACCTCCATTATGACTGTGATCCTCCCATACTGCACCGAGATATCAAACCAAACAACATACTTCTAGACTCTGATATGGAGCCTCACATTGCAGACTTCGGTATTGCCAAACTTTTGGAACAGACTTCATCAAATCCTTCCTCATCCGTGCTTGGAACAATTGGTTATATTGCACCAGGTAATTAACTAACTTGTGATTGGATTTTTATCTTCTTTGCAACATTTTCGTATGGATGAATAACATGTTTGTTATATTGGCCTTTGACAGAGAAAGCTTATACAACAGTAAGTAGCAGGGAGTGTGATGTGTACAGTTATGGAGTTGTTTTGCTTGAGCTAATAACCAGAAAGAAGGTAGTAGATTCATCATTTATGGAGGAGGGTATTGATTTAGTTGGTTGGGTTAGACGGTTGTGGAGTGAAAAAGAAGAAATTAATCAAATTGTTGATTCAAGCCTTGCAAATGAGTGTGAAGATACCAACATAATGGAAAATGTTACCGAAGTGCTTATGGTGGCTTTGAGATGTGCTGAGAAGGATCCACACAAGAGGCCCAAAATGACAGATGTTACTAAGCAATTATCAGATTCTAATCCACAGAAAATAAGTAAGAAGGGCTAGTTTTTTAAAAGATTTATCATACTATAGAGATATATCACTTTTGTTGTATTCTCAAATTTGATGAATAATATCATAATCCTATAAAGGACCTTCTGTGAAAGGACCTAAATAAGGCGGAACTTCTCTAAGCATGATATGATTGTACAGTATGTTACAATCTAAATATGATATGATTGCTATATGTTGAATATACAGTATGTTATGAATTCTAGAAAGATGACTCGACTCAGCTTAACGATATGTTAAATGGCTTCACATAATAATATTGCTCAGATATATTGAGAGAGAAGAATGATTATCAATGCAGTTGAGTGTACTAATCTGAACAGGGCAATACCAAGCAAGCCACTGCTTCCAATTAATTCTCACTGTCAGTTGTAGACTTCCCAAGGACCTTTAGTCCTTCTCTTCCTTAACATAGGTTATTCTTTACTATGTTACTTGTTTGTTTAACTGCACGCAGTGTCTACTCTACTACCATCTATTTTTATTTTTAGTTTTCATTGAATTGTTAATCATTTCATGTTGGGCTGCAAATGGCTAAAAATGTGAATCCATTATTTGGGGGTACAACTCTTGTTTTGATGATGATGGTTAGATTGATTAAGTTCTGTGTGGCTTTTACGAGGATGTTGATTGCTAATAATGTTTGCAGTTGTTGTTGTTACGAGGTTCTGAGTTTTTGCTGGGCCAAAATTGATGGATCTAATGTACAATTTGACTCAAAACTGGGTGTTGATTTATTTAACGAATTTATCGAAATGTGATTTTCTGTGTTTGGTTGTCGAATTGAAGAGCTTTTTGTTGTTTTTATTACATGATGGATGATGTTGATTAGGTGCTTTGATGATGTTGTGCAGGCCATGTTGATTAGGTGCTTTGACATATTTTTCAGAACATCTCTAAGCATGATATGATTGCTGTATATTGTTGAATGTACAGTATGTTACAGTCTAAATATGATATGATTGCTATATGTTGAATATACAGTATGTTACGAATTCTAGAAATAAGTCTAGACTCAGCTTAGCGATATGTTAAATGGCTTCACATAATAATATTGCTCAGATATATTGAGAGAAGAATGATTATCAATGCAGTTGAGTGTACTAATCTGAACAGGGCAATACCAAGCAAGCCACTGCTTCCAATTAATTCTCATTGTAAGTTGTGTATTGATGATGATGGTTAGATCGATTACGTTCTGTGTGGCTTTTACGAGGATGTTGATTGCAAATAATGTTTGCAGCTGTTGTTTTGAGTTTCTGAGTTTTTGTTTGTACATATGTGGTTTTCTGTGTTTGGTTGTTTAATTGAACATGTTTTTGTTGTTTTTATTACATGATGGATGATGATGATGATTAGGTTTTTAGATGATGTTGTGCAGGCGATTTTAACTGTGATATTAAGGGTTGTTCTGAAACTGTTTGAAGTGATTTACAATTTGGTTAGGAATTCAACTTTAATTTTATTTATTTAGTTATTGAGTTGAACAAGTTTTTGTATTGTTTTTCATGTATGGCTTACAAAGATTATATTTTCCTGACATGTTTTAATTGTGCGCCTAAAAGAGATAAGTACATGAGCTGTCTAGCTCTTTTTACATGAGGATTTTGAAATACCATTGAGTATATGTTAGAAGAAGACATCTTACTAGTTGTAAATGATCGATAAATTTTAAAGAAAAATTGAAAGGTGAAGGCGTGTATATTTTCGGAGACTTCCAATAAAAAGGAGTTTATTATGTAATTTTATAAGATATAATTCAAAATAATGTCAAATTACTTCCTCGGATCACATTTCATAAGGCTAAACAAGTTGGAAAATTGTCTGTGGATAAAGCGCTACCTCAGTGTTTGTGGAAGCTATCAGTGTAGTAAGTACAAACATGATTGATAAAATGCCTCAAGAATTTTGAAATTTTAGCATTGTTAATTATCATGAGAGGTCCAAAGATCACACTAATTTTACATAAGAATTTTAAGATGTAAATTTCCAAACACATTAATAGACATCTGTCCTATATAAAATTTCAAATTTCAAATTCCAAGGTAAACTTTCTTGAAAAGCATAATACAAGTTTAAAGTTAAAATTAGGGGTGGACAATCGGTAACCATCCGATGTTACCCGATCGATCTGAAATATATTTTGCAATATGGGTCGGTTAAATTCGGATGACGGATATTTTTGGACTGTTTGATTGGATATTAATGGATATGGATGGTCGGATTCGATTTGTAATTTAGGATCTGTCAGAATCCGAAACCGACCGGTTATAATATTATTATTCTTTAATTATTAGTTGTATGTATAATTAATAATATTTATTAAACTTTTACATAAAGTGTAATATAAGTTCATTTTAATATTAATTATATATTATATTAATCCATTGCATAAACCTTTCTAGTTTCTACTATCAGTAAAAAAATCATTTCATATTACATAGACACACTTCTTCTTCACAAAATAGGGGTTAGGATTTGAAGAAAACCCTCTCTATTTCAATCGCTTTGTTTTTTTCACTCCAACAACCTTCGACCGTCGTCGCTCTCCAACCTTTAGGTTAACTCTCTCTCTCTCTCTCTCTCTCTCTCTCTCTCTCTCTCTCTCTCTCTCTCTCTCTCTCTCTCTCTCTCTCTCTCTCTCTCTCTCTCTCTCTCTCTCTCTCTCTCTCTCTCTCTCTCTCTCTCTCTCTCTCTAGCTAAACTAACACACAAACCATCATCCTTGTTGGTTTCAGGTTAGGGTTAACACAACTCCATCATCGTCTCTCTTAACCTTTTGATTTAGTTATGTGACCATCCATATATTTTGTTAGATTATGTTAAATGATGAATATTGATTTCTTGTTGCCTTTCCATCTTGTCATATAATCCGTATATTTTATTGCAGGTTTATGTGTAAAGATTCAGGTTCACAAGGGTTAGCAATATTATAGTTATTTGACTTCCAAATTTACTCAGGTGTTTATTCTCTTCAATGTGCACACTTTCTTACCTCTGGAGTTGTTTTTCCCTTTGTTCGCTTCAATGTTCCATATCTTTGCATCTTTAACGTGAGGAAATTGCTATGTGGTTTTTGTTTTCAAAATTAGTTTATATTGTAACCATAGCAGAAGATGACCAGTATTTTAAATTGGATGCTTATGTTGGATGTTTGTGTGAGCTTGAAAATATTAGAATATTAATAGTAATTCATATTTATTTAGTTGTACTATTTTCTTAGCCCCTAAGTTTGTTAGAGGGTATTTTAGTATTTTATCTTATTCTAGTAACCCTAATTTTAGCTTATAAATAGGGTGACAATCATTGTAACTATCATCATGTTTTTCTGCCGTCATTCTTAATAGAATATTTCTACCTTTCATCATTTATTCTACCTTTGCACCAACAATTGGTATCTAGAGCTCCGGTTCAGATTCATTGGGAAACACGGGAAACACGAGTGAACGTGAGGTCTTGTGTGTTTGATTTTGATTCTTAGATTCGTGTTGAATCTTGAACAAAATCTGATCAGAATTTTAATTCTGTGGGTTGGGAAACACTGTGTGAGAAACATTGAGTGTATTGTGCAAGGTGAAGATGAACGGAAACAACAACATGAACACCAAACTTCCAGTATTTGATGGTAAAAACTGGAATAGTTGGATGATCCAAATGCGTGTACTGTTTGGTGCTCAAGATGTTTTAGATCTTGTCACTGATGGTTATGTTCCGGTAGCAGCAGATGCAACAGATGAACAGAAAAACGCGCAGAAGGAAGTAAGGAAGAAGGATCAGAAAGCATTATTCTTTATTCATCAATGTGTTCATGTAAATGTGTTTGAGAAGATTGCAGATTCAACGACAACAAAGGCTGCGTGGGACACACTGGTTAGATGTTATGGTGGTGACACATCAGTGAAGAAGGTGAAGCTTCAGTCCTTGAGAAAGCAATATGAGAATCTCAACATGAAGAATAATGAGAAAGTTTCTGAATACATCTCCAGAGTGATTCTGATCACTAATGAGATGAAGGCGCGTGGAGAAACTCTTTCTGAAGAAACAATCATGGAGAAGGTATTGAGATCCCTTACCTCTCAATTTGATTACATTGTGGTAGCAATAGAACATTCCGAAGATCTGAGTACCATGAGAATTGAAGAGCTGCAGAGCAGTTTAGAAGCGCAAGAGTTGCGTTTGACTGAGAGAACTTCTGAAAGGGAAGTAGAGCAGCAGGCTCTGAAAGCAACTTCTGATAGGAGGTATCAGAAGCAGTCAGAAGCCAAGAGAAGATCTGATGGTGGTCAGAAGTCAGAAAGCTCAACCTCTGATAGACAAAAGAATGCTCAGAAGGGAAAAGAGAAGTATGACAAGAAGAAGATCCAATGTTACTGTTGTAAGAAGTTTGGTCACTTTGCTAGAGATTGTTGGTCAAACAAGGAGAAGAAATCAGAAGAAGCAAATATATCCAGAAGTTCTGATGACGAATCTGTGCTATTGATGGCCTCTGAATCTGATGATCTGACAGACTGGTGGTATATGGACACTGGCTGTTCAAATCATCTTACTGGAAACAAGAAATGGCTGGTTGACTTTGACTCTGAAAAGAGGACAAAGATCAGATGTGCTGATGACAAATATCTTAATGCAGAAGGTATGGGAAATGTCAGAGTGACTCTGAACAATGGGAAAGCAGCATTGATTCAGAACGTGTGGTATGTACCTGGCATCAGAAGCAATCTGATGAGTGTGGGACAATTAATTGAGAAAGGTTTTTCAGTTACCATGAAGGACAATCTTCTGAAGTTGTATGACTGCAATCAGAAGTTGATTATGGAGTCAGAACAGGGAAGGAATAGAACATTCAAGGTGAATGTCAGAACTGCAGACTCAGAATGTCTTAGTGCAACATGTGTTGAGAAGGAGAGTGAGCTGTGGCACAGAAGATTTGGTCATTTGAATTTCAGAAGCTTAAAACATCTGAATTCAAAGAAGCTGGTATATGGAATTCCTGC